GCTGCATCGCGCAAGCGTTACGTTCACATAAGAGTGATATATAGTGGAGGTCTAACAATATTACATATCCTGCTCTAAATTCAAAATAAATTTAAAGTAAATTTTTGAGATACGTACTTTTGAAGTACGTATAATGAACTAGCCACTCACCCTCGCTTCGCTTGGTTTCGTCCCTAGGTTGCTTCCCAATACAAACGTTCATCCCCATTTTCACCCCTTAAGGGATAATTTCCGGGATAAAAAGTATCCTATGTCCTTCCAGGTTCTCAAACTATCTATTCTTACCAAATTTCATCTAAATCGGTTTAGTAGATCTAGAGATTACCCCCTACAACGTCACAAACTAACAATTCACAAACTCATAATCTTTACCTCTTTATAATATTAGTATAGATAGATTGACGTATTATATATATGAAAAAAACCATCTTATAGAAATATCACTCAATAGGTTCCATAATCCATACCTACGTGTATGTCGTATTATCTCTTTAACCATTTGTTCAAATTATATGCAGTAAAAGGGAAAGTTTTTTGTTTTAAACATTTTAGACGATAAATTTACTTACTTTGATAAGAATTCATAATTGTTGATAATATGACCAATAAACATGAACTACCGATTTAAATTATTTTTTAATATAAAAAACTACTTTTTATGACTTAAATATAAAAGTTAGACATATGCTGTCGCTGACTTCTTTGTAGGCATTATTAAGCTCTACAACTTTTCTCTAGAATATAACTCATATCTCTCATCGGTAAGGCAGCGTTCGTAAGAAACGTTTTCGTTCGATCGTTTTTTCTCCGACTTACTTTGCATATCCGACTACCATTAAAAAGCCTTTTCATTTTTCGGGTTAATATATAGCCTATGACACTCAGAAGGAACGTGGCTTTGTATTGGTAAAAGAATTTTGAAAATCGGTTCAGTAGATCCAGCGATTACCTCAAACAACGTCACAAACTCACAATTCACAAACTGTACCTCTTTATAATATTAGTATAGATTACGGATCCTGGCATCCTGCTAATATTATCGCATCAAAAACATAAATGTGAAAATGGGAGCCAAGTTCAATATTAAGAATAAGCGTGGTTGTCAACTTCACTGACAAAAGAATTGAGATCTAAATACGTGCCAAGTTCTGTAGATAATCCTCAATTTTTTCCATAAGAACTTACAACCTTCTAAAATAAAATTATAATACAATTGCTTGTTTTTTTCGGCTACAAAAGTGTTTGCTATTTAAAAATAGAATTTCTTAAATTTGAACAGTCGAATTATTTACACAGAGTAGATAACTTAGGACAAAATTGCAGTACAAGATTTGACTTGGCTAGTTCTTACCAGTAAAGCAAGTTTTAGAAGAGTGACACATATTGACCTTACAATATAAAAACAGTAAGTGGTGTATAGCATAAAGAAGAGTGTGATAAGCCGGATATAAGGTAACTTGTATGTAAAAACTTTACCTGTAAAAACTTTTCAAGTTCTCTAAGTAAATTTCTGTGATGCGGAGTATAATATATTTTAATAACAAGTCCATCGATTTTGTTTCAAAAAGTCAATTATTATTAATTTAATTAGATTTACTCGCGGGCACATTTTAATAGATACCCCGGTCAAAACATATTGTCCCCTTTATTATTGTATTTAAAAAATTGATTTTGATTAATCCCTCCACGACCGCAGACACGCCGGCGTGTCAGTTAACAATAGATTTCTTAGAAATTTAATTAATTTCTTAGAAATTTACCTGGAAGTGTTTAAATACGCGATGAACGTAGCAATCTTGCAGCCGGATCTTTATCCATTAAGTTCTTTAAATTTGACTTAAAATAAGAGTTTCTAATGATATTGTAAAATGAATTTTATTTATCAACTAAATTTTAATAATCCATACTAAGGGGTCGTTTATTAATCACGTGATGTTTTTAGCAACCTTTTAACTTTACCTTCCCCTGGTGATACGTGGTGAGGTTTAGTCTTAAACCCTACCTACATAGTATATTCAAAATTAACAAAATATTACTTTAAATACAGGTATAATCCAATTTAATTGTAGAAAATTATGCACCGTGATAAAAATAACCAGACAGATATTAAGTTTGCAGTACCTGAAGCAAATAAGCTCGCTCGCACAAGCTCGCCGTACTACTGCGGAGAAGGCAGGTCTGGAATAAAGCTTTCAGCACTGTCATCGAGCTTGACATACTCTGCTTCGACGTCATGGCCGTCAATAGCCATGTTATTCTTTACTTCTGCGAGAACTTATCCAGCCTTCTGAATTCAATGAACGAACGACGAACGACGAAATTCAACGAAAAAATAAATACACGTGATATCTTACTACTCCCCCTTCCCCATTGTGATGTTTCGTGATTTTTTCCGAAACACACATACATATACATAATGTATCTATTCTATACTAACCGTTAAAACGTACCGAGGGACGAACCCGAGCGAAGTAAGGATAAGTCGCTAGTCTATACATATAATAAAATTGTAACTAAGCCGAATCTGTACATTAAATATTTTTTGGAAAATCTTTTTGAAATAGTCATTATTATCGATACAGAGGCCGAATCTAGTGAATAGAATTTTTGTCTGTTTGTCTGTCTGTCTGTCTGTCTGTTACCGCATCGTGGAAAAACCACCGGAAAGATTTTGATGAAATTTGGTATGATGATATCCGGGTCAACATATAGGATAATTTTACTGCAGGAAAATATCTCATCTCTGAGAAATCTATACTAAACGTTAAAACGTAAGTAGGGACGAACCCGAGCGAAGCAAGCAAAATCATAATCATAATACAGCTGCATATAATACTTTACCCTGTTTGATCATCAGAGCCTAATGTAATGGAGGTCTACGTGCAAATTTTATGAATTAGTTTAGTTTATATTATGTAGATGACGATATCCTTTTAGAGGTGAATATTGTATAATAACACCTCGAAAAGGTCATCGAAATATAAATATTTATTCTATATGCAAATAATGAGGCAACATACATATAACAGAAATAATATAGTAGGTATGAAATCTAAAAAATATACGCAGAAAATAAATTGGACGAAATTTAAAATGATATATATTTAATACGATATCAAGGATTTTGTAATGAAAACATATTAGAGGATTAGCATTTTTCCATTATAAGAGAAGCCGATCCACGAATGTATAAAAAGAAAATGAAAATAGTCATTTTAATTTTTTGCTATTGCTATTATATCATACTAGCGATTTACCCTCGCTTCGCTTGGGTTCATCCCTAGTGAAAAACAAACACAAATCTATCCCATGGGAACCGTACATTTTTTGGGATAAAAAGTTACCTATGTGTTATTCCAGGCTATAATCTATCTCTGTGCCAAATTTCATCCAGATCCGTTCAGCCGTTCTGGCGTGAAAGAGTAACAAACATCCATACATACTCACAAACTTTCACATTTATAATATTAGTATGGATAATGGGATAACGATTTTTTTCCATCTTTAAGTAAATAAATATTTCTACAACCAGATTTAATAAATTGTTTTATTATTTTTCCAAAATAGCTAATTACAAATAAAATTTAAAGTTTCATAATAATTTTAAGTCATTAGAACTTGTTTAAGTAAGGATGTTTTTTTTGTGTTATCTATTCTTAGAAAAAAATATAATATTTCATACTTAATTATTATATTATACGACAGTTGTATTGACGAAATAGTTCAATTGCTTGCGAGCGGATGCATCTCAAATAGGTGTTTCCTGACCAAATAACGTCTTGTTAGTGGTACAACCTTCAACTTATTGTATACTAGCTGATCATACAGATATTTATTTATTTGTTTATTTATTTATTAGATTTATTTATAATTACTTACAATAATACACACAAATATAAAAAATAAAACTAAAAACTAGGCACTAAATGTAGTGATTACTTACAAATAAACAATAAATCTTGTTTTTTTAAATGTGGATACAATATTATTTTTATGATTGACTAGCGGCTCATCCTCGCTTCGCTCGGGTTCGTCGCGAGGTACGTTTTAAATAGATATAAATAGTTATTAGCCAGCGTTAGCCATATAATTTTTTTTTGTTAATAATATTGACAAATATTGACATTAATATTGATACGACTCTAACGTCACTCAATTGCCATCAATGTCTTGCCTTCCCGGAACCTCTCCACTAACACTTAAACTTTATGTTATGGTATTAAAGTTCAAATTGACTTTTAAGTATTATTACGAATCTTTTGTATGGGAGTATAAAAAAGTGTTGTTTTTAGACTTTTTCAGGCAATTTTTTAAATTTTTCTCTCTGTAAGAACCATCCTCGTACTTCAAGGAATATTCTAAAAAAAGAATTAGCGAAATCGGTTCAGCTGCTCTCGAGATTTGCGCTTACCAACACATTCAGCGATTTATTTTTATATTATAAAGATAACACATGTCAAAGCCCAAACCAGAAAGTGCCTCAGAAAAGTGTACCACAAAAATGGATAGATTGTGAGATAGTGTAGGACTCGCTTCGCTCGCCATAATTAAAAAGTATAAATTAATAATAAATAAAACACAATAAGCAAATATAATATCAAATAAATTTTATTAAAAGACATAGGTGTGTAAAAATAAAATAAAATTTTGTTATTTTAAAACAATTTCTATCGATAAAAATACGTAATTAGGACCTAAATAACTCAAAGCTCATTCCCATGTAAGCTTTACACTAAATAAACTAGATGGCGCTCTTACATTAAATAGATTAGCAAAAAATAAGCACGTGGAAAGAAACGTATACATGATTAAAAATAGAATAAACATATATGTAAGATTATTCAGTACATTAACCTCATATTATCAATGTTAGTTATTATATGTAAAAGAAACGATTACTGTATTATTGACCGTAAAACAACAATATAGGTGTTGATAGACGAGAACAAATGCATTATCTAATTATCACGCGTGTGTAAACTAAGAAGTTATTGTTTTCACGCCAATTCCTCCGGCACCGGAGTGTACTTTAAGCCGCTATCGTTAAGCAAGGTCACGACCCAAGAATCTTTAGGTATTTTACCAGATTGTAGCAGCTTGACCGCAGCAGCAACATTTGCCCCACTAGTATACCCAACATATAACCCTTCCTTCTCCCCAATTAATTTTTTATAATATTGGGACTCCTCATCAGTTACACTAAGAGTGCCATCCATAGTGTCATAATTAAAAAGATTCGGTACGCAACCATATCCAGATCCTTGTAATAAATGTAAGGGTTTCGTAATCGGACATCCCTTAATCGGCTCAGAACCACTTGGTTCAACGACAAAACACTTGATGTTGGGATCTTTTTCTTTCAAATATTTTGATGTACCAACAAAAGTACCAGCAGTGCCAACTGTAGCAACGAAAGCATCGACGTGTTCACCGGTCTGCGTCCAAATTTCAGGTCCAGTAGTATAGTAATGTGCATCTGCGTTCATTTTATTATTGAATTGGTTTACGTAATACGCACCGGTTTCTTCGACTAGCCGTAAGCCTTCGGCCTCGGCCGCCTTTACGTCCGCCAAGGTCACGTTGCCATACGTACCTTCGACTTGTGGAACTCTAATACACTTAGCTCCAAGTGCATCCATGTGAATGGCTCTCTGTGCACTATTACCTTGAGACATAGTAACAGTCAAGGGATGTTCGAGAACAGAACACACTACAGCGAGGCCACACCCCTGATTTCCAGATGTAACTTCTAAAACAGGCGCGCCAGGTTTTAACTCTCCGCTTTCGCGAGCCTTCTGTATCATATGAAGAGAAGATCGACACTTAATTGATGCTCCAGGATTCATAAATTCACATTTTGCCAGGATGCGTCCCGGTCCCGGCCAGAGCCTGTCGAATGCGACGATGGGCGTATTCCCGATGAGCTCCAAAGCAGACGCCTTGATCTCGTTAGGTTTTTCGTTGACGTTGGACATCTTGCCGGAATGTACTTATGAGTTATTATCGTAGCGTCACAATCGGTACTGAGCAATGTGACGGTTGTTGGTCTCTTTAAACCATTTACCGATGCTTACGCGCATTCACAGTCACTACACTCGCGCGGTGCGCAATAATAGTGAGACGCGCAAATTCTTACGAAATATTATTTAATATTTACCATAAACATATTTATTTATTTTTATTATACGTAAAAATAATCGCTATTTCAACACAACATCATGAAATAAAAATATAAATAATAATATTTATAGTTGTAGCTATATATTTTTTTTTTAATTTAGTAAGTATTCAGCCCTTTTTAACGTCTCACTTCTAGGTAAATTCCTACCCTCAATACAATTTATACGTTAATGCATAATATTTTTTTATTAACTTTATCTCTAATGCATACAGTAAAAGCTAAAGCGACCGAATAAAACATAAGATTTATTACAGCAATACAACAAATACAATAATACAGTCAATATTAGATAAGTATTATCACAGTCATTAATAGATTAGTTTGATTACTGAAAGTATTTAACATAAGATTGTCAAATACTTTTAATACCCAATCAAATTTCTCTGTAAAAATAAAACGCCTGACAAAAAATTTCGGGCAATACACAATACACTTGTTCACACTTATCAATAAACGCAGATTTTTTATAAAAAAATATTTTTTTAAAAGATGTATATAAAGGTGGAAACAATATACATATACATAATTAAGAGTTATAGTAATGAAAAATATATAAAATTACTCAGACTAAAGAATTATATATAGTTTAATTGTAGATGGAGAGAAAACAATGTCAGTCAAAAATAGTAGCATGCTTTTGCAATTTGGGCTATTCATGATTTCCTGATGTTACCATAGAAATCGTTTACTTTTTTCAGAAATTAAGGGAAATTCTTATAACAACCTTTCGAAGTTAATTTATAAATTTTGTAATTAAAATATGGATAAAAAATATATTGTAGGGCTGATAAAAAACCTTTTGTGAATTTTAAGATTTAGTTACTTCTTCCACTTGAGAGAGATAACGCCATTACATTGGTAATTTTTTAGGTAGTATTATGAAAAAATATTAGTTATTTGAACCAAATTATATTTTTACACAGTATTTAGTTTTACATTAATATTTATATACTTTTTAAAATAATGTAAGGGTCATGAACTTTTACGTTTATTACTTTTTCATATTTTTGTACTTAAAAACATACTTAATATAATATTTTCATAAGCAATTATTAAAACACGAATTATAATAAACTAAATAGCCAATTCAATGGTTATAAAATTTAATTTATAAAATCCATAAAAAAGTTATTTTATTTTTGCGTCAAATTATGTTATCAACAACTGGTAACATTCTGTACACAAATATGCGAGAAGAACTCACACTTAGACAAATTTTTTTTTCGACGTCGTGTTTAGGTTTTATGACCCGCCGTCTATATATGTATACCTATTCAGTCTGAGCTAGTTTGCTACATAAAAAATAATGGTTTTTAGCATTATTGAATTTATTCAAACGCATGATAAAATTTCAGTAGACGTGAATCTACGATTTATCTCCTTACATATGTACATATATAATTATATTTATAATCGATATATAATAAACTTTCATGGGATAGAACCCATGTGCAGTCAACTAACCGATGTTCCGCCCAAAGTATTATCAACTAGCGTAAAGTAACTCACCAAACCTAGTTTAAGTAAAAAAAAAATTAAAGAGTGTGTGTATCAATGTGTACACGCGCAAGTAGTGACGTCTTTAAGTTATCGATTGTTTTTTATCGAATTCATTTTATGTTCTAAATAATTTGGTTATTTTAGGAGAGATAATAAAAATATTTTTTTTTATCGATTTAAAGAGGAAAATAATATTTTTTTTTCACGTAGTACAGATGATGTCAGAGTGCACACAATTTCTTACACTATACTCCCCTTAACACATATGATCCCTGGTACTTGTTATGACGTCATATGGAATGCTCTTAGTAAATAATATTTTTAACAACATTCATTTGATATAATTACATCGCTTATTTAAAAACAAATGAAATAAGGTTTTTTTTATTAATATCTATATTTATTTTTTTATTCTTAGAAATATGTACATAATAGTTTAAATAATTTTCAATTGACTATTTATTTACTTCCGTAACAACCGTTTCCGTTACAAAAATCGTAACGCCAATACTTTTTTCCCTATCATATCGCACCTTCAGAAGAACCTTTAGAAGTTTCACTTCAAAAGTGAATAAGACTCCAGCCGTAGAACTTTGTTCCACCACAGGACATTGCATAAGATGAGTATATATGTATTTAATTATATTAATGTCATATTTGGACCAACAATTTAGAGCTTAATGGAGCTCACATCTGGCAATTTATTATCACTTATTGATTAATGTAAAGTATTAAATTTTATCGTTTACTATATCATAATTAAAGCTTGTACATAATATATTGGTTATTACCGTTGATATTACCATTATTTTTTTTTTTAAAAGCACATACTATAAAAGAGGAGCGAGGATCCCTAATTATTATTACTGTTTGTCATTTTATTACTCATCTAGGAGTACTTTTTAGAAAAAACGTCATAACTATAAATAAACTGTAAAACTTTGAACCCGCTTTTTATTATTGCGATTCAAAAGATAGATAAGAGCGACAAACAGTGCGACGCGACGAGACAGCATTGGCCTAATATTAGGTTCGAGAACTACATAGAAAATACTTGGTGATTTCAAATTTTTATTAAATGATACTGTAAAAAATATAGGTATAATTTAAGATTTAGAATAGTTCTAATGCTTTAAATTTTCATTTTGAAGATATAAATCTACACATAATAATAAAATTCTAAGCCGAATCTGTACATTTTTTTTGGTAATCTTATTGAAATAGACATTATTATCGATACAGAGACCGAATCTATACTTTTTAGATTTTTTGTCTGTTTGTCTGTCTGTGACCATCACGGGAATACCACTGGAGGGATTTTGATGAAATTTGGTACGACGATATCTGGTTATCTAGGTTAATTTAAAGGATACTTTTTACTGCGGGAAAATATCTCATCTCTGAGAAATCTATACTAAACGTTAAAACGTCAGTAGGGCCCGTACCCGAGCGTAGCGAGGGTGAGTCACAAGTTCTTAATATTATACAAATGTCACACGAATTACTGTTTTAGCTATATGTACTTAGTATACAACCTTATATACACTGCATAGGTACCATTTTTTATTATTCATCTATGATAGGTAAGTACATAACATGAATACTTATTAACTATTTTTAAATGATTACAATTTAATGATTGCAAATAGCGTTCTAAATAAACAATAATGACGACACGTTTGGCTCAATTTATAGTGACCCTACTTGCTGGGCCAGCGGTCGCGGGTTCGAGTCCCACTGGGGGCATTCATTTGTGTGATGAGCACAAATGTTTGTACTCCAGTCATGGGTGTTTATATTTATAATATGTATGTATGTAAAAGTTATATATGTATAATGTATCAACTATCTGTTATCCATAACACAAGCCTCGTAGCTTACCATGGAACTAGATGTCCTGACATATTTAAATAATAATTCATTCGTAATTAGGTCTCCTTTGTTATAAAAATTATGTACTACTGTAAAATTATGAAATATGTAATGGCCAAGTGTTTTTATTTACAACGATATTTTGGTGAGTTTTTATACCTAACTAGTATTTGGAATATCTCATATCGGTCCTTCTCTAAAAAATGCAAAATTTTCTGATTTGGTACTTCTAAGGAGAAAATGCTCGTCGTAGTTCGGTCTATTACCGTTAGATGGTGTTAGCATTGTAATATTTTGTGATAACTCTTTTCTTAGTGTTACTTGACTTAAGCATTACTTGCACGTAAACTAGATGGCGCTACTATACTCAAAAAAATGATGATAGAGACAGTCTGATAACTCAGATTTTATAGAAAGCCAAGTGTAAATATTAATATGTGTACTTATTTACTATTATTAACTATATAATAAATTTATATGTATGTAAGTCTACGACATGTTTAAGGCAGAAAAATTCGAAACTTAAGTAAAAAATTAAATTACTCTACAAGCGGTTTAAATAAGACCCAGATTAAAAGAAAAAAAAAATCATCTGGCTTTTCACTGTTGGCCCTTCAAATTGAAATATAAGAGCCAAAACAGGATAGGTTGGGAGTCTTCTATCGTAAGCAAATAAGAAGAAAAAACCTCTCTCGCGTTTGCTGCAAAGTAGAAAAGGTCGGGACCAAAAAATCTGAATAAAAACACCAAAGCATGAGAAAGATAGTTTTATTTCAAATATTAAATATTCGCGTAAAGTATAACTGTGTTATAACAGGGGAAACCCGATCATGAGAATTGTAGCGATGGTGAAACCGGTGCACACCACACTACAAAATTGCATCCGTAACATTACGCCATCTAGTTAGAGGCGTGACACCATCCGCCAAATCTATACTAATATTATAAAGAGGTAAAGTTTGTGAGTTTGTGAGTTGTGAGCTTGTGACGTTGTAGGGGGTAATCTTTGGATCTACGAAACCGATTAAGATGAAATTTGGTAAGAAGATAGTTTGAGACCCTTGGAAGGGCATAGAATACTTTTTATCCCGGAAATCATCCCTTAAGGGGGTGAAAATGGGGATGAAAATTTGTACTGGGAAGCAAGCGAGGGACGAACCCAAGCGAAGCGAGGGTGAGTCGCTAGTATATTATAATTTCATATGCATTTAGTAAAAAGTTGTTACTTTGACTTTTATTTACTTTCAATTTTATTTATCTGTATAGTATAGATATCTATTTATTTATTTATTGAATTACCAACAAAAGCTACAATGGTTAAACACATTATCTAGGCACTACACTTTGTTAATTGCACTTTTAGTTATAGGTAAATACAGCATGATTATTATTATTAAAGTTTTTATGTGGTTATGTGGATTA